AGTCCCAGCCCTTCTCCCAGCCCCAGCCCCAGCCCCAGCCCCAGCCCCAGCCCCAGCCCCAGCCCGTCAACCCCGCCATCTCCTCCGAAGAAGCCAAGTTTCCCACCGACTCCCTACACTCCCGGCAGCTCCTCCAAACTGCAGTCCAAGGTGGGCCAGTGTGATAGTCCAAGGACAATGATGTGCATTCCTGCTTATCCCGTCCTTGCTTAAAACTTTACTCCCCCTCACCTCCCTGCAGTCTGGAAAGTGCCTGGGCGAAATCTTGCACAAGTGCTGCCCCCAGCCTGGCTACGTCAACTCCTGCTCGGTCTCCGTTCCCCTGGACCCCTACATCAAGAAGAAGCTGGCGCACTCCGAGGAGGTGCTGGAGCTGCTGCTCTCCTCCCACGGCCACTGGGTAGCCAAGGACAAGAACATCGACTGCGTGTGCAGCGTGGAGGGTCCCGCAGCCGAGTACGACCTGGCAGAGGCCCACTCCCTTGGCTGAAGGGTCGACGCCGCCGCACCCATACCTCCTCCCTTCCCACCTACTCCATTTCCCGCCCTCGGCGCCCGACTCTGTCCTCCGCCTGCGTTGTGCATCAAACCTGACGCTGCCGTTCCGCAGCATGCCCCACCTGCATCACCATCAGGCATACTCTGGTGATTGCACCCCCGACGGCCCTGGATTCCATGGGGAAGGTGGCCTTTCCTTCCAACCTTTCCGTTCTTATGATTTACGCGGGATGTCCGCGCCCAAAACCCTTGCTATCAGCATGAGACGGGGCCATCGCTCCCGTCTCTTACCCCCCCCTTTGATCCGAGCCCCGTGTTGGCCGGAGTTTCCAGGTTGCGTTGAAATTATCATGCAGCGTGCTGCAGCCCTGTTGTACTCTTGATTCGCAGGAGATGCCATTCCAGGAAGGAGAGCAGTGGACAGGCGTGCTTGAGTGTGAACAGGGGCAGAAAGGCAGTGACCCTGGCACGCGGTGAGAGTGCGCCCCACCGCCCCGGTCCGTCGCGTGCCCGGGGTCAACATGGGCCCGCCCCCGTCCCCGCATCCGCCAGGGCCAGCTTCATGGCGGCCAGCAGGCGGTCCACCTCCCCCGCCCCCGTCATGGGCGTGACCATGAGGTAGACCACGGGGCCGAGCGGGCGCGCAAACACGCCGTGGCGCCGAAGCGCCGCCACCACCCCCGCCGCCGCGTCCGAGGCGTACCCGCCCCCGCCCCCGCCCAGCTCCACCGCCAGCAGCGTGCCCAGCGTGGTCACCCCCGCCACGCCCGGCAGGCGGGACAGCTCGGCGGCCGCGGCCTCACCCCAGAGCGTCAGCGGCAGGCGCCGCGCCGCGGCCCCCGCCAGCGCGCCCGCATTGGGGTTCAGGGCGGGGCTCGCGTATGCCGCCAGCGCCGCCAGCGCCGCCGCGCAGCCGGTCGGGTGGGCGGTGTAAGAGTGGCCGTGCAGCAGCGCGTCCAGCTTGCTCTCCCCTGTGGGGTAGGTCAGGAGAGGGGGTGGTCGTGGTGGTGGTGGGTTGGGTCCATCGGGGCTCCACACAGGGGGGGTCAATCTGGCACCAGGGAAGCCGGGGTCATGGGGACCCCCCTCGACGGTGGAAAGGGGCGGTGGCGCGGCAGGGGGCCTGCACACTCCGCACCAAAGGTTTCAATCCCATCGAGCCGGAGGGAGGGCACGTCAGATGCGGGTCCTGCGCGGCACGGGTTCCCTGCGGCCGGGCGTGCCCCCGCCCCCCCCAACGCCTCCACTTCACAGACCACACACTCATGGGCTGCGGGGTCCAGGCCTCGCCCTCGCCACCCCCACGACCCCACCCTTGCGTCCATCCACCCCACTGCCCGACCTTTGAAGGCCTCGAACACGGGCTCAGAGGCCAGGGTGAGGGCCAGCGGGACCAGCCCCCCTGTCAGCAGCTTGCCATAGCAGGCCACGTCGGGGTCGAGGCCCAGCAGGGCCGCCCCCGACGGCGCGCCCAGCCGCCACAGGCCCGTGAACACTTCGTCCAGGACGAGGGGGATGCCACGGGCGCGGGCCTCCGCCGCCAGGGCGCGCTGGAAGGCGGGGTCCACCAGGCGCATGCCTCCCGACCCCTGCACCACCGGCTCCAGCAGGCAGGCTGCCAGCGCCGGCGGCGCGGGACGCGCGGCGAGATGTGCGCCCGCCGCGGCGTCGTGCGCGTCCAGCGCCGCGGCGATCGCGGCGCGGTGGGCGGCCACTGCCTCGGGCCGCGGCGCGAACACCGCCGCCAGGTCGGGGAGCGGGGCCGGCTGGCCCGCGCCCGCCCAGGCACCGCCCCGCAACGCCAGGGTGGGTGGGTCCAGGAACAGGCCGCGGCCCGCGTACCAGGGCGTCTGGCGGCGGCCGTTGAAGGGCGAGGGCGCCACGCAGTCCATGGCGCCCAGCGTGTCGCCGTGGTAGGCGCCCTGCAGGCCCAGCACCTGCGAGTGTGTGGGGTTGGGGTGAGGGGGGGCGGGGGTCAGAGGTGGCCAGCGAGGTGAGGTGAACGGCTGCGGACAGGACCGAGGGGCCGGGGTGCGGGGTCATCGCACGTGTGGGAGTTGGACAGACCCATCCGACACCGGGACCCAACGCTGTCCAGGCGCCCATCGGGCGGGCCCGGAGCAGAGTGCCCCCGGCAGGGAAGCCGTGGGTGCATGGCTGCCGGGCCTGTGCGAGGCGTCCGCCCCTGGATTACCCCGGCTAGCTCCCACGGACCCCTCCTCACCCCCAGCTCGGGGCCGTCATCCACCTCCCAGTCCGTGGCCCCCCGATCCGCCAGGAACTTCCGGAAGGCCATCTTCAGCGCCACCTCAACCGCGGTGGACCCGTCGTCCGAGAAGAAGGCGCGGGACGCCCAGCCCTGGCCCACCGAGTCCAGCATCGCCTCCGCCAGCTGGGAGAGTGGAGAGGGAGGGTGTCCAGGTAGGTCGATTTGTTGAGGCAGGAGGGCCCCGCACCGATGCTCAGCCCCCTGCAGTATGCTCTGCCCCACCCCATGCAACACACTCGCAATCCAAAGCCACGCTGGGGCGGGAGCAGGTGCCGCAGCTGCATGGCAACTTCACGCCTGCTGCCCGCAGCCCGGCACCCACGCAGTCTCTCAAAAGAGCCCCTTGCCTGCGCCCTGTCCCTGCTGCCAGGATGCTTGCATGTGCTACCCCGCAGCTCCCCACCCCCCCCCTGCCCCCGTCCGGCCCTCTTTCCTAGTACACCCCTCCCCCAAACCTGCAGCGCCGGCTCGTGCACCGTGCCCGAGAAGATGACGTGCCCGTAGCGCGCGGCCGCCGCGGCCGCCGCGCGGCCCACCGCCACCTGCCCCGCCGCGTTCAGGCCCTGGGTCCACCAGCTGGCGCAGGCGTCGTACAGCGGGACCAGGCTGGGCGTGCACTCGGCGGGGCCCAGCGTGAGCAAGCGCTCCCCCGCCCGGGCATCGAAGACCGCCACCGGGCTGTCTGCGCGCGCGTGCTGGTGGAAAGGCCACCAAACCCTGCGTCGGGCGGTCTCCTCCAGGCTCTGTGGGATCAGGGAAGGAGGGAGGGGGGAAATGTGTATTCTCGTCGGGGGGGGGGGGGGAAATGGTGCCCAGCAAACTGGCCAAGAAATCGTCCGTCCCTTGGTACCCCATCGACACACGAGGTCATGCGGTGGCTGACAGACTCAGGGGAGAGGGAAGAAAGGGGGCACCGACCTTGTCCCCTGGCCCCCTGGCCCCATTCACCCCTCCACCCCAGCGCACTGACCTGCAGCCGCCGCACGCGGCGGGCGTGCTCCTCTGCGACGTCGACCCGCAGGCGATCGAATACCAAGGCGGTGCGGCTCAGCCAGTCAGCCAGCCCGGCGTCGGCGCACGGAGGTTCGAGGTAGGCCGGCACGGCGGCGGCCTCTGCACGTCCCCCTTCCGCAGCTGCGTCCCGCGCGGGCGCCGGCGCCGGGAGCGGGGGCAGAGCCAGGATCTGGGTCTCGCCCGGCCCGATGAGGCGGGCCAGGGCGTCGGCGTTCCCCGCCTGCTCCTCCGCCAGCAGGAGGAAGGGCACGGCGTGGCCCCGGCCACGCAGCAGCTCGTAGGCGGCGTAGGTGACGGAGATGCCGCCCAGGCGGCCGTCGCCCACCAGCAGGGCCGGGGCGCAGAGGGGTGCGAGCAGGTCGCACTGGGCGCCGCCGGCGGGGCTGGGGCTGGCCACGCCGCCCGCGCTCTCCACCAGCGCCATGCAGTCACCGCGCAGGAAGAGGCCACGCTCCTCGAAGGCCGCCAGCTCGGTCGCCACGGCGGCGAGGACCTCCGGGTCGGCGGGTGGCGCGGGGGACGTGAGCGCCGCGTCCGCCGCCTCGGCGGCGGCGGCGGCGTGGGGGCCCACCGCTGGCGCCCAGGCGTACAGCGTCTTGGCCAGCCGGCTGGCGCTGGAAGCGGGGGCGCCGTGGGGGGCGCGGCGGGGGGGAGCAGGCGCGCGGCGTGGGGGCCCACCGCCGTCGCGCCACCGCACGCCGCGGCCACTGTGCGCGCGTCGGAGTCGGTGGGGAAGCCGGTCTGCAGGGGCTTGAGGTACAGCAGGCTTCCCTGTGGTGGAGTTGGGTGGGTGGGGATTGACCGGGTTGGAATGTGGCCCGGTCGAGGGCGTGGGCCTGGGTGTGGGAGGCCACGAGGCGGGTGCCCAGTGCCAGGCACTGACACCCCTGCAGCATATGCCACTCCCAGTGCAAATTGGCGCCTGGTTCCATGCTGCGGCGAGCTACAAACATGCGAAACGCCCCGCGCCTACCCAGGCGGACCTCTGCGCGCGTCACCGCCGCGGCCAGCCCGGCGCTGACGAGTGTCTTCCCCACGCCCGTGTTTGCACCCCAGATGCACAGCGTGGGGAAGCCCAGGGAGATGTGGCCGTCATCTCTCTCCGAGGAAAGGAAGCGGCGTGTGAAAAGACGGGAGCAGCGGGTCAAGGGGATGGAGAGGCTGCGCATGGCATCGATGTGGCAAGCTCGTCGAGGGAGACCTCCGGTTCGGGTAGAGGACTCAGGCCTCGGGGCAAAGGAATGGGTCCCTCATCCACCGACACCCGACCATTCCGCCACCAAAGATATTAATGTTGATGGGTTCCACGCGACCCTCCGCGAGACACCTGAATATACCGCAGCATCAGGGCATTCACATCGGGCTTGAGTGGCGCGCGCTTTGTGCTGTCACCCAGGAAGACCCAGATGATCAACACGAATTTATTACTTGTACAGCATGCGCTTGCCATCAATGCAAACAGTTTGGAGGAGATTGGGGTTTTTCAATCGCATGGAAGTCAAGGAGGGGCGAGGGAGGCTCGCTTGGTTCTGGAGCACCTCCTGCGATACCATGCGGCGGAACAACTTGCCACAGAGCAGAGGAGGACCACTCGAATCCCGTTCCTCACCCATCGCGCGCTTGCCAGCGACACCACCCCGGCCTCAGGACGCCAGGGGGCGATGGGGGTTGGGCAGTACGAAGAAGGTGGCAGCACGTAACCTGCCGGCGGCAAGGGTACCGCGGCAAATTGCGTCTGCATTGGCGCCAGCTTCAGTCCTGAGGTTTAAATGGATGGGGGTGGGAGAAGAGGGGAGGGGTGTCAGGATGGGTGCCTCAAAGGAACTGGGATAGGCAGAGGAATGCCTTTCAGCCTGGTTCCCCTGCCACCCCCAGTGATACCTGTATACAACAAGGCACCTCCCTCCGCACGTCTCTTGCTATGCACTCACCGTGACGGCGATAGGCTGCGGTGTTGATCTTCCAATGCTTCATCAGCTTGTCCCTCTCTTGGCGCGGCGTCCTGTGGGCAAAGAGGCAGAGCAGCGTCAGATAGCCAGGGTGGGCGGCTGGGCAGGCCCTCTCGGGGGGATGCAGGACATCATGGAGCTGGGGTTGAGCAGTCTTTCAAGTGCCTGCGCTCCCAGCATCCATTGCCTTAGGCATCATCCATTTGCACGACCGCCCCTGGCGCTCACCAACCCTTTTCGTGTGTGGTGGCGTAAATGCTGCTCCCAGACTCTGGCTTTGTGGACGGGTGTGTCATGCACACGACGTCCACGACCCCCACAGACTCGCGAGCATAGCGCAGCAGGAAGGGCCACAAGAAGTCCAGGCCTGAAGTGGGAGACACAAGGCAATTTGGGGCAGGGTAAGAGGCACGGCAACAGACTACAGAGCACCACTGCATTGGCCACCTGGCCGGCAACTAGAGTGCGCCAGTATACCCATGGCTCCCTACTTTCACAGTCGATGCTCTGGCCAACGAGAAAATCAAACACGGCAGGAACACATCCAGGTGGAGCTCAGCGCCGTGGTTCCTCTGCGTCCCATGCCATTCTCCTCTGGCGAAACACCCTTGCCCATCATCCCTCCCTCTTTCCCAGCCTGTCACCAAGCAGCTCACCCCAGCCGATGCTGGCATCCTCCAGGTGAGGGAGCACATGCTTTGTGAGCATGCTCTTGGAGAACATGGGGGCCATGTTCTCCACAAAGGCCGTGTAGCGCAGGGTGTTGGAGGAGTTTTGGTACATCAGCTCCCACCAGGTGTAGGAGTCTGGAGAGGGACACACTGACAGCTGGCCCAGATCCAGGGAGTGCCGGGAGAACACGTCAAACCCGATGTCCAAGTCTGGGCATGGGGATGAAGGAGAAGATTGTAGACAATAGAGGAAACTTGTACAGGATGGCAGGCATTCAGCGCTGCACCCTTCAGGCAGATAAGAGATGGCCACTGTAGGCATCGACGCGGGGGACCATCATTGTATGTGAGCAGTCCTTGGCCATCAATTACAAAGCTAAAATCCACCACGAGCATCTCTGCCCCAAACTCCTCACCCAGCCTTCGCCTCCGCACCATGGGGTGCCATCAGCAGATCGTCGTCTGTGACCATGAATGCTTGGTAGGGCTGCATGACTCGATCCCATTCTGGCCGTGAGGCCAGGAGGTGCAGCAGCTTCCACTTGGCACCAGGGTGCCGAAACGTGCCGACACACGAGGGGCAGGAGAACGCCGTGTCATTGCCGTAGTACATGGCCAGCATGTCAAACGATCGGCCAGGACTGTCGTCCAACCATCTGGAAAGGAGGCAGACAGGTGAAGCATGAGAGCCAGGTCGCATGAATTAACACAAGAAACACTTAAGGGAGGAACGCAAGATGCACCAACTCCATGGCTTCATGCAACTCCACTTTACAGGTTTGTGAGACTCCACATCCGCTCACACGCTTGCAAGCTGGCGCTGTTCCCCACTAGGCCCACCAAGAGACTCACGCAGGAGAACCGAGGGCCGAGTTGTCTCCCACCGCTGCGATGAGCAGATACGGTCGAAAACATGGGCTGCCGATGTATTCCAGACCTTGAGATGGCGGACTAGGTGCTACATTCCAGCTGTTGTTGGCTTCAGGAGGTGGGGGAGGATGTAGGACTCTTCCCTGGCAGGGGTGGTTGTCCATGAAGAACACCACCAGGGCAAGACCTAAGGCCTTCATTAAGGCCCTCTCTACCGTGAGTCGCAGGGTGGCAACGGTTGGAGGATTAGAACAATCAGAACCACGGTACTAGATGTGGAGACCTCGTCGTTTCCAGGGCGGCTCAGGAGGTGCGGAGGCAGGAGCGTCGAGCCGGCAGACACCTAGCCGGACACATACTGCGCACGGCGCGTCCGGTACTCGAGAGCTACCTCTGAATCCCATGTCCATCCATGCTGGCAGTATTCAGCGCACGCAAGTCTCCAGGATTTAGCGTCGCCCGTGCATGTGCGTTGCGATTGGGGCGCTCGAAGAAGCTGGTCCCTGCTTGCATTGTCCGTCGTCAGCAATCGGTTGATCGGTAGGGTAGCTGCCGAGAACGTGGCGAAACCCCCAGTCTGACAGCTTTACCAGGAGGCGCCAAGATTCAATATCCTACAGATATGGTTCTCTGGAGAAAAATCAACCTCATACGGCCGGGGTGGGGGGGGAAGATTTATTCGGTGTGACATACGACAGGTATTTACATAGGTATGCTTAGGGGGACAGCTGCAGGTACACCTCCTTGGTCGGCAGGCTCCGGTGCCCCGAAAGCTTCCTCCTAGGTGTCGCAGTCAGCGGCCAGCGCCGTGCCTTCCAGCTCTTCATCCTCAAGACTACCACGTAGAGCAAGAGCGCCCCCAACATGGTCCACGGAACCAGGCTCCAGATCCTGAACACTGTCCGACAGGGGATGACAGCAGGTAGGGAGAAGGTCTTGGGACAGAACGCCGGCAGCTTCAGCTCATAGCCCCCCTCTGGCAGCGGTTCCGCATGAAACACGATGCTGGTAGGGTACTCCTTGAGACCTGCAGGGACGTGGTGTGCAGCAGGGAGGGTGGATGTGTGGGGAGCATAGAGCACCAGTGACAGACGGCACAGATCCTGACTCTCAAGAGACATAGCGCTACTCCAAATCTCTAACGCAGGATATTTGGGCCTGCGTGCCAGCCCAGCATCCTGTGCGCTTGAAAACTCAGGAGCATTGTGCGGGGAAACCTGGCACACACCAAAGGAATCCCATGTCGTCTGATTGATGTTCCAGTTGTCTCGAAAGAAGGAATACTCCTCCCCAGCAGTCCTGCAGGGAGGGGAGGGGCATTGCAGGCAACGTCGTCAGGAGGGCTCCCAGGGTTTTAAACACAGATGTGTTGGCGTCTGCTCCCTGGCCCGGACGCAACATCCATGTCCTGCGACACCACAAGAACCCTCGTCCGCCTCACCAGCCCTTCTCGTGTGTGACATTGTACAGCCCGCTGGACGACTGGTTGGCAGGGTGCGACATGCACACCGCGTCCACGATGCCGATGCCGCGGCGGGGGTACTCTAGGAGCAGGGGCCAGAGAAAGTCGATGCCTGTAGTAGTAGGGAGGAGGATAGATGTGTAAGGCACGTTTGGGGGTGCCAGCTGGTGATTATGCAGACCATCTACATGGCAACCAATATCCCCACCGCCCCCTCCTCTGGCCGTAACCCTGGGGTCGCTGCCATCTCCGCATAAACCCCACCCATGGCCCCCCATCACAGCCCCAATGCCGGCGCACCCCAGCCGATGCTGGCATTCTCTAGAGTTGGCAGCACATGCCGCTCCAGGGTGTCCATGGAGAACATGGGGGCCATGTTTTCCACAAAGGCCGTGTAGCGCAGGGCGTTGGAAGTGTTCTGGTAGACGTTGTGCCAGTAGCTGTAGGAGTCCTTGTGCCGGCAGACAGATGGCTGGGCCATGGACAGCGAGAAGCGGTGTGCCACATGGAACGCCAAATTGATCACTGCATACGACAGACCAGTTCAGATGGTGGGGGAAGAGGGGGATGATGGCCGGTGAGGAGGCGAGGATCTGTTGGCTGTTGCAGACGGGGTCGTGCTGCCTGAGGCGACAGCCAACAGCTTGGACACTGTATGGCTTGGTTTAACGCAGAGGGAGCCCCCCTTTAACCAGCGTAGCTGGACCACAGGACGGCGCAGGGACCCCGCACCATGGGTGGACATCAGGACGTCGTCGTCGGGGATCATGACAAACTTGTAGGCCTGCCGCACACGGGGCCACACCGGGGACTCGCTCAGCTTCCTGAGCAGCTGCCACTTGGCGCCGGAGCGGCGGTACACGGCCACACAGTGCTCGCACTGGAAGTCCGGGTCCTGGCCATAGTACATGAGCAGCAGGTCAAAGGAGCGGTGCGGGGCGTTGTCCAGCCATCTGTGGAGGTGTGTGATGTGGGGGGCGGTTGGGTCTGCACTCAATCGATTAGTTGAGCCTCAGCAAAGGAGATGGAGTGGCGAGCTGGTATCGATCAGAAGCCCAATCGATCACTACAGTCTGGGCAGGCGGGAGGGCATGACATCCACTAGGTGTATCCATCCCAACCAGACACTCTCAGGCGCAGATCTGTGTGACCTGAACCACCGCCCCCTCGGTCCCCCTGCTCACGTGTGAGGGTGCTGGGAGTCGTCCCCAACCACCCCGATGACCAGGTAGGGGCGGGAGCAATTATTGCCAAACCATTCCAGGGATATTGGAAGGGAGTTCTTGTCGACCTTTCCCAGGGAGGGATCGGGGGGCAGAGGAATGTGCTCAGCACCGGCGCCGCTGAGGCGGCATGCCAGAGCGAGAGCGCCAAGGATCCAGCACCTGCCAAGGGGGCCGGCAAGAGGGGAAACAAGCTCGAGAAAGTCAGTATAATGTCGTGTGACACCCACGTATGCACGCGTAGCACCTGGTGACAAGAGGTATGCTCGATCCCACAAGCCCCGCACACCGACCCACGCACCCCTCGACGCAACGGTTGCAGGGCATAGGTCGACGGTCGCAGCCTCAGCAGTTGATGCTGGGCATCAGGTAGGGATGAGTGTGGACAAGAATGTTGAATTCAGATTCCGAACTGTGACGCATGGCGGTCACATGCAGGTGGAGCTTATGGAGCCGGTGACCATTTGACGCGCCGGGATCAGCAGGATCCGGACAGAAAATCACGGGCTGGCTGGCCATGCAAGCCTTCATCTGCGAAGGCGTGCACTTGCTCTTTCTCGTGAAACACTAATGACTTCCGATCAGCTGTTGTACAAGGTGTGAAGGGCGACTGCCAACAGCGCAGTCTGACCATCGCGAAAGGGTCCTGAGCTCCCGACGTTCCCTCACAAGATGCTGATTGTGGCAGATGCGCTGCAATGGTTTATGTGAGCAGTATAAAGCTCCTCATATGGAGAGAAGAACTGAGCAACATTCTCACTGAACTGAGCTCCATTGTCCTACTTTTGGGCACCTTGCTCAGGTAGACACCACAGTCGAGTGGACGATCACACGGTGTCAGTTTACTGGCCAGGGCACTGCGAAACTTTCAAGCGCATATCAGCTTTGGCCTTGCGTGTCGCCCAACTTCTTCCCGACAAAACCCATCAAGATTCCGTCCAAACCCTTGTCGCGCCCTGCCGCTTGCCAGCATCCTGCATGTCGGATGCTGTCGGCGGTGCATTACTCAGCACATTGCATATGCTGATTATGTTGAAAGTCTGAGTAGGTATACCTAGCTTCGAGGGGCGCGTCACGCGGGAAGGAATCCTGCCCGGTGGGGGCCCTTGGGCGTGCCCTCCGACATGACCAGCCGCTGGGAGGCCTACCTGGACCAAGCGCTCGAGAGCCTGCGGGTCACGAGACTTTCGAGGGAGCTTCGCGCGACAGTTGCCGGGAACCATGCCGCGCAGGTGCACTGTGCTGTGCCGGCCGGTTGCCGCAGTGTGGGCACCGGGTGGGGTGGGGCGGTGTGCTTGACCTTGAGCATGGTCAGCACCCAGGGCCCAATTACCGCCGTGCCCTTGGCCACTGAGGTCGGCCACTGAAACAACATACGAGCCTTTCCCCCCTCCTCCTGCGCAGGCCCAGACGGTGGGCACCGGTCCCGGTCGCACGGTGCGGCTGTTCAGCCTGAACGACTACCTGGGGCTCTCGACCCACCCCCAGGTGTGCGCCGCCGCGGCCTCCGCAGCCCTGGCCGTGGGCAGCGGGCCCCGCTCCTCGGCGCTGGTGGGGGGTTACACGACGCACCACCGCGAGCTCGAGTCTGACCTGGCGACGCTGGCAGGTCAGGGTGAGGCAGGGGAACAGTAGTGCCTCAGGCGACGGCCCTCGTGTGGAAATCGCGAACAAAGCAGCCGATTCCCCCAACCCCTTCCCCCTCCAGGCACGGAGGAGTGCCTGCTCTTCCCCTCCGGCTTCGCGGCCAACTGCTCGGTGATGGCGGCCGTGGCGGGCAGCCCCGAGGTGGAGGTCTTCTCCGACGAGCTCAACCACGCCTCGCTGGTGGACGGCCTGCGCCTCGCCAAGGCCGCCGGCGCGCGGGTGCAGGTCTACCGCCACAATGACATGGCGCACCTGGAGAGCCTGCTGCAGGCCAGCCCCGCCAAGCCCAGTGCGCGGGGTTCCGTGGCGGGGGTTGGGGGCAGGGAGTGCCTGCTGGTACCGGGTTGCTCAGGGGGTGTGGAGGGACGTCCCACGGGTGCCGGCGCAGGACCCTGAGCCGTGTTGCAGGAGGGAGGTGGTCAGCCGATGCCCCGCCGACAACCAGCCCAACCGAAACTCAGCAACCCCTCCTTTTGCAGCGTCCCGCCGCCTGGTGATCACGGACACCCTGTTCTCCATGGACGGCGACTACGCGCCCCTGGCCCGCCTCGCCGAGCTGAGGCGGGCCCACGGCTTCCTGTTGGCGGTGGACGAGGCGCACGCCACCCTGGTCTGCGGCGACAGGTGCGCAGATGGGGGGCGGGGTGTCGGGGTTGTCATGTGCCTCTCGTGTGGGTCGGGCGCTGGAGTCGTGACTCCAGCGCCCGCGGTGGATCACGCCGAGTGGTGCTACCACGCCCCCCGACCGCTACCCCCCTTTCCCTCCGTCTCATCCACCCAAAGCCCAGCCAACCCCCTCTCCCTTTCCTGTACGCACAGGGGGGCCGGCGCGGCGGAGGCGGCGGGCGTGGAGGGCAGCGTGGACCTCCACCTGGGCACCCTGTCCAAGGCCGTGGGCTGCTCCGGCGGCTTCCTGGCCTGCTCCCGCGCCTGGAAGGCCCTGCTGGTGGCCAAGGCCCGGGGCCAGGTCTTCTCCACCGCCATGCCGGTGCCCATGGCGGCGGCCGCCAGCGCGGCACTGCGAGTGGCCCGAGAGGTGGGTTGGGATGTTGATCAAG